AAAGTACAGAGTTTTGCCTTTTAAATGTTTTGAACAAACAATGGAAATTTGGTGCAAGTTTCTAGTTTCTATTATACATTTTCCATTTTACTACATAATTTTTGAACCTACAATTATTTATACACACATGGACAAAACTTAAGAAAGTGAAAAGTCTTTGATATCATTGGTCATCTATTTTTTCAAGAAGACGGAGGCAATTTTGTTCACACTTGGTTATCTCGTGTTTCTTCAATAAAGGTTATTGTAATATCTTTCAGAATTATTGTATGAATCCCTATATACATGCTGAAAGATAAAACTTCCCTACGTTTGTCCATGAGTGTATATTGTTACTGACTTGACCAATGGTATTTATCTCAATAGGGATAAATCTGTTAACATATCCACTGCCCATTTTGGAATTTCAATTATTTTTATATATATAGATTTTTTTTCCAACAAAAATTGGGCTATTGTAGTTTTCTATCACATTGTTATTCTTTTATTATTGTGCTATGACATATGAATTTATCATTTTATACCTAAAACAGCCAAGCTCTCATGGCCAACTTAACTGATGAGTGGTTACTTACTTCGCAACCACTTTTGTAAAATTTAAAGTTTCCAAATTTTTTTTGTGGAATGATCTCCTCCAGGAAAGAGTAATCATGTTTTTGAGTTATAATATGGGAGGTTATAAAACAAGGTAATAAGACCAAATCCAAATTGTGCCTTATCAATATGGGAGGTTGTATTATTGATCATTTATTAAAATTTTATTTTATCCTGCAAAAATAATGAGGATTATGCATCATCTGTTATAGAAAAGGGAATATTGATACAGTAAAACCCTGATAAAATAAACCTGAGATATAGTGAACCTTCCCTTATATAACAAACCTGAAATTATCCCCATTTTTTATTTTATAATACAGCAAACTAATGGTTACAATGAACCAGGGCTATAGTGAACCACAGGTTCAGTCCCATTGGGGTTCACTATAGAGGAGTTTTACTGTATTTGGAAATAAAATCATATGTTAAAAAATACCTTCAACAATTTCAAATAAGATGCCTGATGCCTTGTAACTTTACATTGCTGATGTACAACATTTAAATATCAACTGGTTGTTGGTGTTTCTGAATATTGGCTAACAGCCTTTTTTGATGTAACAACAACATTAGTGGATATACAGCATTTCTTGTTATTCCAAGAAAGAGTATACAGTAAACTCTCCTATAACGCGATTAATGTGTTCCGTGTTGTATGAAATCGCGTTATAGGAATTCGCTTTGTACGAAATAAAACTTGTATAACGCGAATGTTGTTAGGGTAAATTGTTAGTGACAAATATCATGTAAAAATGTATTGTATAAAATGATGTATATAGGAAAAATAATTATATACTAAAACAAAACTAAATGTTATATTATTTTATATGCAAATGTATTGTACAGTTGTCAATAAGGAAATTTCCGCATTTTATTTTATAACGCGTTATATGAAAATTTGCGTTGTATAAATAAATTTGTCACAATTTTTTTATCTCGTTGTACGAAATCGCGTTGTAAAAACTCGCGTTATAGAAGAGTCTACTGTATTAGCCAACTTCCATAAATTTAAAAGCTGGTAAATCAATGTACAGTTGATATTTATACCAATATATTCTACACAGCATTAGCTACAAGAAAATAAGACCTAATCCAAATAAATTAATAGTGTGTTACATTTCGATAACAGCATTGTTACCATCATCAGACATAAATGAATTATTTGGATTAGGTCTTATTTTCTTTTAGCTATAATCCAAATTGTGCTTTATCATCTACTCAGCATTATTCAATTGTATGATCCATAGATGCTCTCTTTCATTGTGTTATTGCCTTCACAATAATGATTAGGTAAAATTAGGATTAGAAACACAAGGTAATATGACCAAATTCAAATAAATAAATAGTGTGACATTTCGGTAACAATGCTATTACCAAAATATCACCAGCTATTTATTTGTATTTAGTCTTATTACCTTGTGTTTTTAACCTTCTCAGTGTTTATACTTATTGCTTAACATAAGTAAACTTCAATATAGCAGGGTTTCTATCATTTATACTTCATTAACTCTTTCGCTGCCAGATGTACTAGTGCTTGATATACTGGTAAAAAAGGAATAAACTTGACCCAGGAACCAAAATAATTTTCCAACACTGTTAATCCCCATTAAATAAAAGCCTTTATAAAATAAGAATATAAATGGTAGCAATCCGTTTCTTTATTCCTGCAAAGTGCAAGCTTTAGGATCTTTATAATTCCTGCCCTATGTCTGTGGAAGGATTATAAAGATCCGAAAGCTTGCACTTTGCACAAATAAAGAAACACATTACTACAGTTTATATTCTTATTTTATACTTTATAGCAATTTTCTCTTCTAATAAACGCCTTTATATTTAAAAAATGCCAAAATACAGTCATTTATAACTAGGAGGGTAACAATGTTTACTTCCTCTGTTATACCATCAAATACAGTCAAAAAGCAGAGATTAAAGTGAAAGGATATAAATGTTGGATCTTATATTATACAGCAAGTGTGTTATAAGCTCCTGAGGAAAGGATCATAATAACATGCACACAAGCATGTGGTTGGCAGTGAAAGGCTTAATTACTCTGTGTATAATAATAGAAATATATTTCTACCCCATAATATCACACCATATTTGCATATTTGAATTTGTTTTTCCATAATTTTCAAACTACAGTCAACTCCCTATTTAATGGGCACAAATTATTGAGTTCAAGTTTAAAAGGAGCTGTCTAATTATATTTATTGCATACCTAAGTATTTGAGTAATTTGTGGAGATTTACCATGGGGAATTCAATATACCATGGTCCTATATCCCAGTGAAGTAGGAGTTTTAGACTGTAGTTTTATTCTTCTTTGGAATCCTGCTGACTTCACTATCACCCAGTGGAATCTTTGCTTATAAGTAACTGGTGTGTAGAGAATGCTCCAAACTAACCAGTATACCTCATTCTTCACTTAAAATATAGCCATTTTCTGTGTTAACATTTGTATATGCCATTTTTGAGAGATTAGTATTCCTGCTATAATTGTATTCAAGACTGGAAAATCTTGGTCTCTTAAATCTGTGATCTATTGTCTTGATTATCTAGTGTAGTTCTTAAATACAATACAGTATTAAATCCTGTTGGTCTTAAATTACAGTCTTGAATCTCCTATAAAACAAGAATTTAAGCTGTATTAGATAATTTGACAATTTAAACTATTATATTGACTTCTAATAAATTGTTGCAGAAAAAATTGTGATAAAGGGATATTATAAAAGGTATTATATAATAAATGGGTAAATAAAATGCAGTGAAATTTATACCATTGTATTTGTGCCAATTTCTTAAGCAAGGGAGTCTATGGAGGCTTGAGAGACTAATAATCTGTATTAGATAAAATTATGATGATGTTAAAAACCTTATTAGAGGTGAAAAAAATAGCACAAATATAACATTGTACTCGGATAAGGTACATAAATTAAGAAAAAGGCATCTCCTTATTGTGCAACTTTCAGCAACTCTCAGTTGTGCACAATAAGGAGATGCCTTTTTCTTAATTTATTAGAGGTGTTGTCAGGAAGTCTTGAGAAAGGGCTTTCTGATGATAATTGGATTTTCAATGGGAAATGAAAATATTTGTTACTAATATTTCCAGCAATTTCTAGCCCCTGCGTAGTTAACCTGGCATGTCACTCTGGGGCCTCCCTCTTGTCTAGGTTGGGTAAGTAGTGAGGGGGGCCCTGAGAACCTGGCAGACTTCACCGCTAACCCTCTCTAATCTGTCGCACTTAGCCCTCTAGGATTGCTGCTGGCATTGCTCCCCAGGTATAGTGCAGGCACACCACTGCAGACACACCTATATATATATAGCTAGAGATTAGGTTAAACTCTCTCACTCTGGCGCTTTAGAACTACAATTATTTTAATACTTGTCACTTTTATTGGATACATCATCTCATACAATTGGAATCCAGTCAAATTTTGACAATTTTGTCTCTAAATATTTATTATACCACATTAAGAGTATTACACCAATGGTTAAAACACCAAATCCATGCTCTTAATTATATTTATGAAAATAGATGTAAGCAAAAAGAACTTGTGTCTAGGGTTTTTTTTAACTTCTTAAAATATAGGAAGGCTCTAGGACCTGAACTCTTTGAAAATAATCCTTAAATAATGGCTTGGTATCATCCTTAATATTCTCTTTAGAATTCATTTTCTTCAGTTCACATGAGAAGGATAACTTCATAGATTCATTGAAATAATATTAAAGTGATAGGTACACACACATTTAGAATATAACTAAGGTGAAAATACCACTGGATGGTCACACCACATGATTCTGATCTATATTCTAACTTTTCCTACTTTAATTTCGCCAACTATAATTCAACACCGCCTTTAATTCAACAGGAAATTCTGATCCCTTGGGGTGTTGAAATAAAGAAGTTGGATTGAATGCATTTTTATATTTAAAATTATCAATGTATGGATTCTTCAATCTACAAATATATTTATTTATAAATAAAAGACAATTTTCTGAGGGAAGAGTCTCTTTTATATCACATCAATACAAGTTTTCTCAATTTCTGTCCACATGATTTGAGTCAATTATCAAAGACATTATCATTACCATTATCTTACTTCTTCATTTTTCCCCTTGATCCACATTGTAGTTAGTTCCTTAATGATAGTAAGTTTTTTTTTTAAATTTTATTCTTGCACTTTCTAAAAAAAGGCACTGGTACCATTATAGGGAGTTGATTTAAACTTTCAATTTTCTGCAGTCATAACCCAGGATCCTGCACATTAAGCACTTTTTTCTAAAAAAAAAAAAAAAAAACTTGCTTCAGTGGCCCCCTGATTGTTGTAATAGTCCAAACCCCACCAGTGAGTACTAATTGTAGTAACCTAATGAAGTTCTGACATACTGTAAGGTAAAAATCGTACAGCTTTCTACATGTCACCCTCCCAAGTACTGACCGGGCCCGACATTGCTTAACTTCGGTGATCGGATGAGAACCGGTGTTTTCAATATGGTATGGCCGTAGGCTCGCTTTCTACATGTTATGACTAGTGGTGTAATTTAGACTGGAAAAGGAAATTACTAACTACTCACCATGATTATCACCATGTACTTGGGATAAGTTGAAAAAAAAAACACCCTATTTCAATACTTATGTTAAAGCCAGGGAGTTTATGTATTCAATAAAAGTGACAGAGAAATATGATTTTATAAAAGATTTTAGTAAAATTATTTTCAAAAGTTTGATTTGTGGAATACAGATCTAGAGAAGTGTAAGTTAAGTGAGAACTAGGCAATGTATTGTTACTCTGTAAGGTGGAGGGAAGGGATACAATAAGCTTTTTCTCTCTCTCTCTAAAATATAATTAAATCTCTCTAGATATTGATATTTTGTCAAAATTGTGGTTTTCCCCAGGTTTTACTTCTACCACCCCCACATTGTCAAGATATACAGTTAAACCTGCCTATAGCGCCTCATCTTGGGACTCACCAAAATAGAGTGCTATAGAGAGGGAGTGCTATAGATAGGTCACTTTTAATGTAAATTGCATCATACTACGTATTTAAAATCGGGTGCTATAGAGAGGGAGGTGCTATTTAGAGGGGGTGCTATAGACAGGTTTAACTGTATATATTTTATATTGGCGAATAAATTATTTTTGACCATGGAAAATATCTACATGGAACTTCTACTTCCTACAAAACCTGGAAACAGATTATTCATGCAGTAGATATGAATAGGATTATGAATGTGTTTTTATACTGAAAGTTTTATAGAAGTTGCAAAGCCTTTGTTATAAAATAGATTAAATTTGCTTAAAACGACTGTTGTAGCAACATAGTGCAACATTTCATGAATTTTCTTAAATTTTAGTGTGTGCCACATTAAAAATTCCTTAGACCTAACCAAGCAGCAACTTGAGAGTCAAAATAAAATGAAAATACACTAGAACAACCTCCATGAGAGGACATTCCTGCTAAAGGACACCTCTCAACCTAGGACAGTTTCATTCCCAAAATTACCATTAAGCAACTCTCCAGTAAGAGGACACCTCTCATTAAAGGACAGTTTGGCTCTGCATATACTGAAAGGAAAAACCTGTGGGAAATCTATATGGAGATAAGTTATTTTCCCCTTCCCTCAGCCTGTAGAGTGCCGAGGTTTGCCACTGGGTCCGGGCGGAACTGCACCACTCTGTGACATAAAGCAGGTTCCCTTGGGTTTCAGGGACACATGGTTCAAGCTGTATGGCATAGTGACCACCTTTGTGGCCACCCGCAGTGGACTCCTCAGATTCCAGGATCTCTGGGCCACAAATGAAACCCGGAACACTACAGACAAGTAAGACAGATTACATTGTCATCTACATCCTCTCTGACCCATCTATGGTGTTCTAGACCTTTCTACGAGGAACACGTCCGCTCTATTGACGAACTCTTCTATAAAAGAGCAGTGGACTACCACTATCACAATAGCTCAGCCTTTGTCTTCAGCGTGCCCTTTGATGCCGGTAAGTTCCCTTTCTCAAGAGATGACAGGATTGGAGTTATGGAAATCAAAAAGGCTCTCTCTCTCTAACGATAATATAAGATACAGTTATGGCCAACAATGGTAAAATAACACGTCCAAATGAATGTTCTTTATATGAAATTTCAATGACAACATTATATTTAATTGACTAGAAACACAAGGTAATAAGACCATTCTAAATAAATAGTATGGGACGTTTCTGTAGCAGTGTTTTAACCATTGTCTGGGAGTGGTACCAACACAGAAACATATCTCATAAACTGGGTGAGAGAGAGTAGAACAACTTCCATGAGAGGACACCTCTCTTATAAAGGACAATTTTCATAGCTAAAATTACCATTTTACTGATTAGCAACTCTCCGGTAAGAGGACACTTCTCTATAAAAGACATATTAGCACTAGGTGTTGTCCTTTACACAGAGAGGTACTACTGTATATGAATTACCTATCGTGGTCCAGAGGTTGGTTATCTGGATGTGAATCACAGTAATTTTCCCATTATATAAAACACTAGGTTCAGAAAAATTCAATTCACACAAATCAAATCAATCAAATTAGTGCTCACTGGCAAGTAAAGAAAAAAGTTCCAATTACTGATAGCTTATTTTTTGTATGGGTTTTTAGGAGGGAGGCTTTTAATAAAAATTTATTCCAACTAGAGTAGTTTGATACAAAAATTACTAGAGCCTGATGTAAAGCAAAGAAAGAATTCATTATAAATTTATATTAGAAAATATGAATTTATAATAAATTAATTGCTTTACATCAGGCTCTAGAAAGTATTGTATCAACATACTCTAGTTGGAATAAATCCTTACTAAAACCTTCCATACAATTATAAACTGAGTGTTCTGACCATTAGATGTGTCACCTGCTGCAGGGACAAGGAAGGATGACCCCCTGGTGACTGGCAGCCACGCCATCTTCCTGGGAGCTGGACTCAAGAAAGCTCCAGCTGCAGTGGTCGGACTCCAGTTCAAACATTCAGCCTTCGCTAAACGCTTCTTCAACATCACTAGCACAGTGAGTAGATTGGTCTGGTTGGTGAGTCGAATAGAGATCTTCCATATTATCTATCAGGGGGTCACACCTTTCCTGATCTAATCTAGACTTTCTGTATTTTCTCAAATATGGTTGGTTTATGTGTCTTCCTCCTTGTCTGTATTCTCTACAAGTTTCCTTCCCACAGTATAACATGTGAATGTCTTGACTAAGGAATATTATAATTCTTTATCAAAACTGATTGCCTTATTCATTTATTATGTACATTTGGAACCTTCTGAGAGATTCTTTTATTTACAAAACAGAAAAATAGAAACAGTTTAATCAGCTTTGACCATCATGTAGTACAGCCATCTCTAATACAGAAGCTTGTCGTAATGGAACACCATTATTGAAAAACACATAGAAAAACATAATCTGGATTATAGATTATAGCTAAAAGAAAATAAGACCTAATCCAAATAAATTAATAGTGTGTGATGTTTGGGTAACAGCGTTGTTATCAATATCAGACTTTATTCTTTTGTCTGATGATGGTAACAACGCTGTTACTGAAACATCACACACTATTAATTTATATGGATTAGGTCTTATTTTATTGTAACAATTCCACTTTGTTCTGAACAAGTCTCTTCAATTATTTGATATTCCCCAAATATCTAAAAGGGTATAGCACAATTTGGATTATAGATTATAATAAAAGAAAATAAGAACTAATCCAAATAATTTATTAGTGTGTGACGTTTCGACAACAGCATTGTCACCATCATCAGACAAAAGAAAAATGAGAAAAAATACCACAGCATGTTCTTAAATGTTATCAAGTGTTTATACAAGATAATGTTTGTAATTTATCTTGTATGAACACACTTGATAACAGTACTATTTAAGAACCTGCTGTGGTATTTTTTTCTCATTTTTCTTTTGTCTGATGATGGTGACAATGCTGTTGCCGAAACGTCACACACTAATAAATTATTTGGATTAGTTCTTATTTTCTTTTATTCCACAAATATCTGTCCATTCTTTAAGGTCATTGAACAAGGGAGAAGTGGTACAAACTGTTTATTTTCTGCAGCCATGACCCAAGATTGAATCCCTCATTGGGCACTTTTTCTAAAGAATAAATTACTCCCATGGCCCCTAATTTATTGAAAAATTTAGCCCCACCAGTGAATGCAATAACCAAAGGGGGTCTTGTACACTTGTAAGTGCAAAATTTGAACTGCTTTCTACCATGATTATCATGGCATGTACCATGTGTATTTGGGATATCTATATATATAAAAATCAATGTTTGTTTGTTTGTTTGTATGTCCGGTATACAAATTCGCAGTAGTTCACTAATTCAAACCAAAATTTCCATACATAGGTAAAAAAATACGGGGAAGACGATAGGCTATTTTAAAAATATATATATAAATCAATTATTAAAACTATATATTCAAATTATTCTACTTAGCTCACGAACAGCACCCTCTATCAAAGATTAGATTAAATTATGCTGATGCAAACAAATAGATAATGCTAATAACAAACAATTATTTAAAAAAAATCTTATCTAAATATATATCACTCGGGTAGATATGCACACGGGTCAATCCCGGGGCGAAGCCCAAGTCACCCGTCTAGTAAATAATAAAACAGGTTATTGAACCATCCCTCTCTTGGTCCACTTCTCACATCAAGGTTTAAATATATGATAATATAACAAAAGATGATATCTGGATGATCTTTGAAGTTTAGAGCTTGCACAATTGTGTAACCACAACATAATACAATTTTTTAAAGCTAAAGAATATTACTGTGGTGTTCCAACAGTGCCAACAATCCTGCCAATTCAACTGCAACAGCTCAGTAAGTAGCACCACCTATTTGGTAGTTGTTTTGTTTTTTAACACCATGTTGAACAAAAAAAAGGTTAATGTATTAATTTACTTTAAGAATCTTGCCTTAGGAATTGTTTTTCCCATTTATTTATTTGACTTTTTGACCCAGTCATTTCCAAACTCTTATATCATCATTGTCAGATTAGTGACATCTGCTTATTTTCAATATAGAATTAAAATGTCTTTTATACCCTTGGCATGTATAATTGGCTGGAAGTGGTACTTCTAGGTCTTCTGTTGAAGGGCATATTGGCTCCCGAAAGCTTGAGAAATAAAAAAGTTAAAAGAGACCACCTGGCCCTGGATTGCTGATTGATTTTGTTAAATTGTAAAAGCACAGGGATGAATATGTATTATATATTCTCTATGTGAGATGATCTAACTAATTATGTGTTTTCAGGAAATGGAGTGCTACCTCCTGGACAACAATGGCTTTGTGGTTGTCAGTGAAGAACATGAGCATGTGAGTACTGGGCCACCCTAGCCGCCATAGTGCAGCAAGATTCTTAAACTCTGGTCTGATGGACCTGGATCAATCTGTGAAACATTTTGACTGGTCCGTTGAGATTTTCAACCTGTTTGTGTTAATGATAAGGTACAA